TAATCCTAATTAAGTCATCATCTTCACATTGCATTCCTGTGTATTTTGAAGCACTTTTTCTAATGTTACAGGGTTGCTGATTGTAGCCATGTTGGTCTAAGGACATAGGCAGACAAGGTTCTTTGGGTAAATGTGGTATCTTTTGTAAGACCAACTAAATAGTTGGAAAAATTGTTCTTTGCAAGCTTTTGGGCACAAACACCCTTCTTCAGGCATTGGAGAGAGTCTGCTGTTGGTTTGGATGCTCTCCTGGGTAAATTAGAAGCCAATATGCAGAAATGCAAGTTCTGCAAATCTCACTGTTCTCCTTAAAATAACAATTCAAATCAGACTCACTATAAGGACACTCTCCAAGTGCATTAAAAAAACAGTGAGAAACTACATTTTTTAAATGTTTTTTACTACACTACTTGTTCTTGTAATCCTTTGCATCCTGGCCTGCATTACCTCCCCCAAAGTCATAAGCACCAGTGACAACTGATGCTGCTGTAAAAAAGAAAAACAACATGCTTTGCATTCTCAATGTCTCCTGCTGGCAAGCTTCAGTTGCTGCAACTGGAGTTTCTCTTCAGTTTGAACTATAAACACAGCTGATCATCAAGGCAGAATAAAACTCACACTAGTGTTGCACACGCAAAACAGAGACGCAGGAGGGCAAAGATGGATATATCATTTACATACACAACAAACACAGAATCAAAATATATAATATCATACACCCACACATGGATAAATATGAAAATCATGCAAAAAAAGTTTTGTTTATACAGAAGAACACAAAACACAGATACTAAATTGCAATACCAATATCCCACCTCCTTAGTTTGTTTTTCTTAGAGACCTCTGCCATGACAAGGCAACTAAAGGCTTGTTTCAATACAGCCTTTGCTTACTTTTTATAAGTATATTTTTCCACCTACCAAGTTTAACTTAGTAATGCTATCCAAAATGAAAGATGAAAAAAAACTGTCCAACAATTTTAAGATGTGAAACAAAGTAATCATAGAACTGGGTATAAACATGACAATATAGTAAAAAACAAAACCCTAAAAACTTTAAATCTCAATAAATTGAAGCATATCGACCTTCCAAGCTAACCTAAATATAGCAGCAGTCACATTGCTATTGGTAAGACTGTGTCAGCTTTTCCATTCTAAACCTCCTCCTAACCCTTTTCCAGGAGTTTATAACTCTGCTATAAATATTCAATCTGGCATGAAGTGTAACAGTTTCATTTCTTAAATAATTTTAAAGGCATTTCTTTATAATAAAAGTCTCCAAAAGCCAACAGAAAATATTTCTACTTCTGTGTTTTTTTCCCTTAATGCATGAAGACCTAGTCAGTAATCTTTCACTTTTCTCACTCTAATTTAACATACGTGGATTTTTTAAATGAAATTTGAAGGACACATTTACATTTCTGAAACTAGTATTGTCATTTTCAAAAACATTTTCACTTAAAACAAAGTTATGCCTTGTTCTTAATAGCAAACTGCAAATGCACAAAGGCCTCAATCCTTAGAAAAACTTAGAAATGTATATGCTGAACTTTACTCTAGAAGTCCCACAAATTTCAGCTGAATTACTTGCATAAATATTGAAGTACGCACACAAGCATTCATACTATCAGGACCCTGATGCCACAAGGTTCTCTTCCCATGGCATCCATTGACTTCCAATGTAAACAGGCCTACTGATGAAAAAAATTACCTCAAATGCTTTGCTTCTGAATAGTGCTTTCATCTAAGGAGCTCCAAGTACTTAGCAAATAGTAGTTTTCTCAACATCTACCTTTCTCAGGAGGAGCTATTTTTCCCTATTTTGTGGCAGGGATAAATGAAACAGATATGAAATGATTTGCACAATGACTGATAAAGCTAGGGAGAGAACACAGATTTTTTGGTTGGCAGTTCTTGCTTTAACCATTATACAATAGTGCCTTTGACTTAAAAATAAAACAGATGACTGCCACCACTCAAATCCGGGTTCCCTTTTTCTCAAGTAGACAATTGAAAAATCTTACTATATCAGAATAAAGAACAAACTAAACAGACATTATGCATTCCAATACCTAGGTAGAATGAGATTGCAATGAAAGTTCAATTCTGCAAACCCTAATTCATGTAAGTAGCCCCAAAGTCATTGGAACTACTAGCTTAAGAAAGGACTATTTAGGATTAAGGGTTTGCAGGTCAAAGTCTCACTAAGTAAGATGCAATCAGAGAACACCGCTGCTACATTTTCTTTCTAACCAGCCCTTGACAAATACACTTGAAATTTTCAAGGTAAGAAATCAAGATGGCAATTGCTCTGATAGGCCACTGCTCACAGAGCGCTGCAGGAACTCAGCCTTAGAAGTGGAGTGGATTTCTCAGATGTACAGCTCATGAGCTCAAGAGAATGACAGGGTGGAAAAGAAAAACAGTTAAAGAAACAGGCATGTAAGAGTGTTTGCTACTGACTTTCCAAAATAGCATTTCATTTCTATTAACAAGGTTAAGCAGAGTCTAATACACCCCTTGCAAACTTGATATACATATCTGCAGTTGCAGTCAGAACCTTAAGGTGACAATCACTCGTCAACCACCATTAAACGGCGGAAATAACAGCATTCAGTGTGTTAAGTTTAAAAACTCCATCCTTCTGTTCATATTGATACTGCACTAGCAGAATATCAACTTATGGAGCCATGGAAAATTTGTTCAGCACAATAAGTACTCGTTAAACTTAATATTTCACATCAGAGATTGAAACAAATAGTTACCAATACCAATTTTAGAGTATTCTCATCGTTTAAAAAAGCTGCCTCCTTAGCAAATAAAAATTATTCTATTCTGCTTTTCAAGTTAACAGCAAAGCACCGATTCCAATACAAATTGTAAGACTATAAAAAGTAAGATGTCCTTTTCATGCCAATAATATGACTCCAGTGTAGCATAGTACAATTATTTACTGCATACAAATGAAAAAGCATCACACAGTACAGCGGTAATAAATGCTGGTGACTGATAACTAACCCTATCAACAATCTTTCTGCAGCAACTGCCTAATTATCTAACCAGTAATTTAATGAATCCAGTGATTCATAACAATATTCACACTGGAAACATGTTCTTAAATACAGTTGTTTGCGTGTGTCCATTTTGTGACAAAGTTTTTAAATGTAAGAGTGTACTATGACTTTGGAGTTTGAAGGTCACATACAGTAACTGTTCTCTCATCGGGGTTTTTATGTGCTATGTCTATATTTAGTATAAGGAGGAATAAAGAGACCTCCATCCTTTCACAATTTGGGGAACATCCAACCACTAAGTATCATTCAACTGTTTCATCCAAAAATATATAGGCTCTATTATTTTGTGCTAAACTTGAAAATAGCAGGGAAAATAACTAAAACAACTCTGCTTTATAACCTAATTTAGCCTACTAGCAACCAATTGCTTTCTGCAGCTCAGCAATTACCTCTGGTTACAGAGGACGCTGTCTTTTCTCTGTTTTCACCAGCCTGTCAAGCATATCTTGTTCCTAAGAATGGGCTTCTTCTCTTATAAATACCTGTCACCATAAATGGATCATGAATTGAATTCCACGCCCAAATCAGAGAAGCATAGGCTGCTCTTTTTATTATTTTTTTTTCCTGCCAAGGGATTTCTCTCAGCATCCTTTTACCTTCCCAACAACCTTACCATGCCACAACTTGAACTGAAAACACCTAAATGTGATGGTGTCCATATTGAACAGGACACTCAAGGCTAGCAAAATCCCCACTAGGAATAAGAGGTGGGATTACTGTCGCTACGAATGCTTGATGCTGTAAAAGACGTTAAGACTCCCCAGCGAGAATCTGGGGTATAAAAAGACCCCAGTTGCACGTAACAGACACACCACCGTCACAAAGTGCCTCGCCCTCAATCGTCACAGACAACACAGCCAGGGCGAGGACAAAAAAAATGATAGTATTGGGACTTACCCCATTCTAGATACTCAAGGATATTCTTCTCTCTCCTCAGTGGGGAATTATTACATTCATCGTACAGGCAGATGAGTATATCCAGCAAGGTTTCCACGCTGAAGCATTGCCCCTGGGTCTGCGTGGGCCCATCCAAAATAAACTGTTCCAACTGTCTCAAACGCACCTCTCCAGACATGATTGATTCAGTTTGCATGGGAGGAGGAGGGGGAGGTTCCTTTTTTTTTTTTTAAATGAGGAGGGTGACTTTCCAAACAAACCAAAAAAACCCCACCAAAAACCCAAACCTCCTTAACTCTTAGAAGTCTCTTTCAAATAATAAAAAATAGCCACCAGGCTTCCGTCGCCGTCTCTCTCTCCAGCAAAGGTCAGTTGAGCTGGGCGGGTGCTGAAGGGACAAGCCACCTCGGGGCTCCACCTCACGCTGGACACCGCATCCTTGCCCAGTTGCACGCACACGCACACATACACACACACACACACCTCCCTCCCACTCACCCACACAGCCAGGAGACTCACACAATGGCAGAGACCGAGAAAACGGCCACCCTACAAAGAATTAAAATAAAAAATAGAGAGAGAGCTATAATAATGTCTTATGGGTTTAAAAGGGGGAGGAAGCGAGCCGGCTCCAACGCTGGGTCCTCATCCTCGTCCCGAGGACGGCAGGGAGCGGGCCGATGTGCCCGGCGGCGGCGGGGATGGCTGGGCAGAGGGCTGCTCCTCCTCCTCTTCCTCCATTCACCAGCCCCAGGCCAGCAGCATCACCCGGTCAGAGCAGCCCCCGGCGGCATGGCGGAGCGGAGCGGGAGGAGGAAGCGCGGGGAGCCGCGCCCCGGCGGGAGAAGGCGGAGGGCACAGCCCGGTCAAGCCGCCTCCAGGGCAGCGGCGCCCGCCCCTCGCAGCCGACCCGGGACTGCGCCGGGTGTCCGCGCCGAG